TGCAAGGCTTAAGTGATGTGCATTACCGGGGCCCAGAGATACCTCTCCGACAATCGGAGTGACAAATCCTAATCTCGAAATACGCCAACCCAACATGTACCTTTGGAGACACCTGTAGAGCTCCTTTATAATCACCCAGTTACGTTGTGACGTTTGGTAGAACACAAAGTGTTCCTCTGGCAAACGGGAGTTACATAATCTCATAGTCATAGGAACATGTATAAGTCATGAAGAAAGCAATAGCAACATACTAAACGATCGGGTGCTAAGCTAATGGAATGGGTCATGTCAATCAGATCATTCAACTAATGATGTGATCCTATTAATCAAATGACAACTCTTTGTTCATGATTAGGAAACATAACCATCTTTGATTAACAAGCTAGTCTAGTAGAGGCATACTAGTGACACTCTGTTTGTCTATATATTCACACATGTATTATGTTTCCGGTTAATACAATTCTAGCATGAATAATAAACTTTTATCATGATATAAGGAAATAAATAATAACTTTATTGCCTCTAGGGCATATTTCCTTCAGTTTGAGAGACATTTGAATGCTTTATTAATTAACCAACTCCGTACTCCATGTTATGCTATGTTGATCATGTTCATGTTGTACAAACAACTGATGTATATTTAAGCTTAAATTGGAATGGGTTAGAAATCACTTACAAAGTGTTTTGATGACACATTAATATATTTGATCAAGGATTATATAATATTGTAATCAAATGATTTTCTTGTTTTATCCCAGTTTGAATGAAAAAAAGTTGTAGTACCATGTAGAAAGAGATTGTGTGGACTCTTAGGAATGAAGAGGTACACATGTGATTTAAATGTCATAATAACATCATAATTCTAGTTTTACGTGTAATTTAACTTTGGTTTTACTGTATTCTTCAACTTATAAAAGATTTGTCTTTGCTATTACTTGTGTTCTTTCTCTTCCCGCCGATCAAACAACCAATTGCAAAATTGAAGTTTCGTAATCCTCGGTATTAGATTTATACTGTATCCATGTATTTTACCTTTTTATGTTTTACAAATCACACGAATCTATACAAAAACATACACATGCCAACACGCAACACCCCCACCACACACACACACACACCCTATACACATACACAATTCAACATTGAACGCTAACCTAAGCACTAAAAAGCCTCCTACAAACATGTATACCGAATTGAGGTATACATTTTCTAGTAAGCCATTCTAGTCCTCTTGGCGCCAAGGTCAGTTGAATCTTTGTACTATGACTCATGCAATAAAACTCATGACCACATCCAACTGATACACAAGACACCACTTCATTGAACTACTTTTCTTTGTAAAAAAATATAACTTTCTTACACAATCAAATAAGCCAAAAAATATTCATAGCTCCCATAAAAATAAGCTAGCGAAGATACTTTCCAAACCCTATATTGCAGAATTTCTTTTACAATACACTCAAACTAATGTGGACCGAGCAGTAAATATGACCAAACATGAGTGGTATATGGATTTTAGGGGCAAAACCAAAAGACATTGATGACAAATCCCACAAATAAAGGGCAAACCATGCAATTTTTTCAAGTATGACATGATCTATTTTAACTTAAAAAGAAGTAAGAACAAAAGTTGAAGTTCAAAAAATTGATTTCTTACACATACAGACATGTGCACATATGCATGCTAACAAAAACATCTTGGCATCACATGATCTACAAAATTGTAGATAAATCATCCACGTAAGTGTTGGCAATTGATGTAGAATCAAAGAGATGAGACGAGCTGATGCGACAACATGATCCCACAAAATAGCACTAGGGTAAGTGCATCTAGTGCCCCCGTTTGGGGTTTGGATGATTAATGATAATAGAGTTAAGGGACTAATGTTTTTGTGAGTATACACAAGTGGAAGTCCGTGACCATTTGGTTTAACCGTGGACAATGGCCCTTAAAAATGCTATGAGAACATTTGAAGTCTTCGGAATTCCCATTGAAGATTTGGAAACTATTGTGTAGACTTTATTTTCACTATTGTTTATTTTCGCTTGAGTCATAGAGCAAACGATACTATTAATGGGGTATAAGTCAAAGCAAGATTGGAGTCTTTGTGTGTGCTCAATCGAACCTAATTCTTAGGTGGGTGAAGACTAGAAACCTCCTTCCCTAGAGAGCTTTTTAGCTTAAGTGTCAAAATTTAGTCTTAGGGGCACTTGGGTTAAATTCCTCGCTGAGGAGTTAGATGACTTGCTCTGCAGGTTAGTCCACATGGGCTAGTGATTTGAAATTGTGACAGTCGCTATGTGTTGGTTCCAAAATGGGCGCGTCCCTTCCACCTTCATATCCACCCCTTGGGTTGCTCGTTTGTTATAAATAGCACCCTATCCCATCCATCTACAGTCGGCTACTCCATGTTATTTAAAAAGTCTTATCTGAGCAACCCTTCCTCCCACAGATTTGAGAGAAGTCCAAGTGAGGGAAAGCAAGAGCCTAATGTGTTAAGTGATGGAACATCATGGAAGAATCTAATCGAGCCTAATTTGGACTAGTTAATTTTTAGGATTGTGCGTCCTCTAGATGGTTAGGAATCGTTTAGAGCATATAAAGTGTAGAACTGTCGAAGAATAGATTTGTACCGACCTCGAGATTGCCGCAAGATCTACCACATGATTGCCGAGTTCCAAGGAACTTAGCTCAAGGAGAGCAAGGCGAAGACTTGTGTCTCTTCAGAGCTTTTGACTCGGCTTCTCCAACCCAGACG